AATAATTATTTCCTTTTGATAAACTGAGAAATAACAAAATAGACAAAACAAATCGCAACGAAAAAAAAAAAAAATGGCGGATCCCAATTTATTCCCGCGCTCTCTTCTTCGGATGGCGGGAAACTAATCAGAACATCCTAAGTTTTGTTTTTCTCCTTTCTCTCTCTCTATCTGCGTTGCTTACTGATTATCCATTTTTATTCTTTATTTTTTACGGAATAATTGACACAAATGCTACGTCTTTGATGAATTGGGGATAGGTGTGCTTTGCGGTAGAATAGATGTGTCTAAATTTGATATTTGAATGAATTAATAATGGAAAATGTATCTATGTTTGTATGACGCGATGTATGTCTATATTAATGCTTTGCGTACATAAGTATATACATACATATATACATAGATGTATACAAATGTACATACGTATACATTCCCATACACACCATATATCTATATCTGTTCATACGAGTGTATGTATCTCTCTCTCTCTAAATATATATATATATATATATATATATATATATATATATATATATATATATATATATATTATATATATTTACATATATATTTCTTCTTCTTCTACTTCTTTCTCGTTTACTGAAAGTTATATAGGTTTCGAACATAAATATCTCAATTATAATATGGGAGACCTTTTATAAATTCTTTCTAATATTACCAACCTTATTGTTATAACAATGATTCCGGTAATGAGAGCAGTAAAGCGGATACCATAAATAATTATCTCCAATTGTCCTGATAATGGTAATAACGAGAGAGGCAATTATGTCAGCGATAAGAAGGATATGGATAAGACGGAGGAGAAAGTAATTAAGATATAAGTAAAGAAATCCTACTTAAGTAAGCTGACTATCCAAATAGCATTAGTATGATAAGGATAACTGACATTAGCTTCTTCTTCTGAACATGATCAGTGGAAGAAAAAGTATTAACTATCTACTATTATCAGTGGTTAATTATTAATGGTTAATTTTCTATTCAAATCTAGAGCATGATAATCATACTGTCATCTCACGGTATAGTTTCTGATACCATAATACTGATAAATAACAATAATGATATTAACGAAAACGTTTGGGATATAAATGTCATCAATGAGGATGATATCACTGTCATAGCTTTATGTCATTTGTCATTTATGTCATCCCATCCACAAAATCAATAGTGTTATCCTATTACTGAATCTACCTGTTATACATTCTCCTTTTTTCTAATCAACCGAAATATAATGATCATACTGACATAACATCACGTACATAAATGACAAACGCTGACAAATGTAGAAAAGGTATGAATGAGACTGGATATCTCTCGTATTGTGAAGATATCCAGTCTCATTCATACCTTTTCTACAAATGTAACCATAGTTAGCGCTATCAGTAATAGTTAGCGCTATCAGTAACATAGTTAGCGCTATCAGTAACATAGCGCTATCAGTAACATAGTTAGCGCTATCAGTAACATAGTTAGCGCTATAGATAGCGCTATCAGTTAGCGCATAGTAACATATAGCGCTATCAGTAACATAGTTAGCGCTATCAGTAACATAGTTAGCGCTATCAGTCTAGCTATCAACATAGTTAGCGCTTATCAGTTAAACATAGTTAGCGCTATCAGTAACATAGTTAGTTAGTTAGCGTAACATAGTTAGCGCTATCAGTAACATAGTTAGCGCTATCAGTAACATAGTTAGCGCTATCAGTAACATAGTTAGCGCTATCAGTAACATAGTTAACGCTATCAGTATTATATCAGTACTTAGCGCTATCACAGGCTGACAAGTCCCTCGTTCCCTTAGCTAAGCCACTTTCTTTACCCAGCCGTGTTCGCCCACCTGTTGGCTCGGTACAACCCCCAACGTGCATTTCATATTTGTTTTCTCTGCTTGACTTCCATATACTATGAAATAGATATATGCATTATATCATACACGCGTACATGTGTGCGTGCTTGTGTATGAATGAGCATATAGGTCTATTCTTAACGAATTGACACCATCGTTCTAATATCTAAACCCCTTTTTTAATGATAGCAGTTTGAAAATTGTCGGCTTCGCGGGTTACCTAATTCCTGTTTTTTCTTCTTTTAAAAATGTCATTATAAAACTTATTCATCTCTATACCTGTCGATATTCTACTAGACTATCGCATTATCTATCAAAGATTTCCCCAAGTGATTTCATAAGGACAACATATCCGAAATACAGCAGTTACCATATCCCTTCCCCCTAAAACCACAAATATTTTAAAGGCAACAGTTCTCCTCTCCCTTAATATCATTTTATAATCTTTTTTCCACCCTCTCCTTCCTCCCACAGAACCTCCCAAAACTATTCTGTCAACTTCAGGTACCCTACACCTGTCTCTTCACCTCCCTCTTCGGTACGACACAAACACTTACACAAAGAGTCACACACGCCCCCAACCCGACCTGTGACACGACCAGACCCCGAGACCTGGCGTTACGTGGAGACACTCAC